ACATTTGGTACATTGCCCTTTTCTTCACCCAAATCAAAACAGTATGTATGTTCTTTAGACTGCTTAATGCACCCTGGAACTAAATAGTACCATAGTCACACCCTAATTTCAGGTCTTACCAGAGCAGGAATGACTATTGAATTATAGCTAATATTCCATTTTTTTTTTTTTTTTAAAGAAAAGAGAAGCAAATATTTATGTCAGAAAGCAAACAAGTTCTACTCTATGATCTATCCTGGATTATTCCTCTTCTCGAAGAAATACCATGGATAGGTCCGACCCCTCACTCCCCAATTTGCAGTATCTGGATTTTATTTTTTTAAATTGTGCTTTAGATGCAAGTTTATAGGGCAGAGTTTGTTTTACATTCAACATTACATGTACATTTAGTTTCCCTCCCCATTTACCAGCCCAACCTAACCCAGTCTCCTCCCCTCCCTGCACAGTTACTAATCTACTTCCCCAACTAATATTCTAGAAGCTCAGATTTCAAATTGGTCTTCAGGCTGTAAGACAGGGATGGATGTTGTTGCTAACAAGGTGTTTTTCTGAATCACTTAAGAATGTTTATGGTTGGGGCCAATGTGATTCATCATATTGTTTTGTAAATAGGTGCAGGCTTCTGGCTCTGCCCCGCCCTAACCGCAAAGGATCACCCAGAGCATCTGTTCTGAGCAGAAGTGGGTTCACACACAAAGAACCAAGGCTTTATTTTTAGGTTTTTATTTCATTCTTTAAAGCAATTGTTTTGTTTTTCACAGCTTGAAACATAACTTATAGATTAACATTCACCCTGGCAAATCTCTGACTTAGTATTTCTCTTCTGGAAAAAAAAAAAAAAGAATGTTGAGGATGGAGAGAGTCTTAAAAGGGCAACATAAACCCTTTTTTCTGAGAAATGGAAAGCCAAAGGAATAATATGATGACATGTTTTTGGAGCAATTCAGTTTACATCTGAGTTTGCCCATGAAGCCCCCTCCCTGGGTACCTTTTCTGTTTCTCCTTTTATTAAGAGGATCACCACCCCTAATTTTGACAAGCTGAGGGGTAAAGTTCTGAAAAGCAGGTAGGTGAGCAGGCACATATTCCAGCAGCTACCTGGCTCAGAGCCAGTTTCCTGCTGATCGGCTTTCTGTGTGAAAGAGGGGGGAGCAATGACCAGTCTGTCCTTGATCTTGATCTCCTTTTTTCAGGAGCACTCTCACCCTGTTCCTTCACGGTGCTAGAGATTGACAGAAACAAACTGCCCTGGCTCAGGGGACGGTTCCTCTGACGGCTGCTAGGGAAAGGGCCCCAGGGTGTGTGCTGGCTTGTGAGAAGATGTAGACACACTTTGTATCTGAGTTCTTTGTGAGTATCTTCTATGTGTCTGGTGCTACAGCTACAGACCAGCTGTGGAGACCAGTTGCTGTCATCTAGGCCCTTGTCTAGATCACTGATGATAGTTTATGTTTGATTACTCCAAAAGATTTCTTCCCATAGCCTTGGATTCATTATTTAGGGAAAGGCCTCATACTAACTTCTTCAGGTAAACGCTTACCTGCCTTTTGAGAAGCAGGAAAGATATGGCTGCTGGGGACATGAAGGAAGAAGAATGGAAGGGAGCAACTCAGTACCTGTGTTTGCGTGGGTGAATTTGCACCTGATGACTGGGAACACCACTAATCACCTCTGCCTCCATCATAATCAGAGTGGTACCTGCAGTCTGTAGCTAACAGTGTTGGAAAAAGAAAAGAGAATTGGAGATAAATTTGTGTCTGCATTAGAGCTTGCCAAATGTTAGTTGGGATAGAGAAACTTTCAGAGTAAGCACGGTGAGCAGCAGCCTGGGAGAATAAGGTCCAAGGCCGCCTGTGCTCCAGTCCCCAGTCTCACCTGGAGCCCCAGTATCCCAGAGCATTTGATCAATTCCCAGCACTCAGATAATAAGTACTTATTGCTTTCCAGATCCTGGAAGACTCCTTATGCTTTCCTTCAGTCACTCAGAGTGCTCTATACATACCATGGGCTTCATTTGATAACCTGACTGTGAAGTAGGCGAGGGCAAGTGTTCCTTAGTCTCATTAGGAGAGGGAAGGGCCTGACTTGAAACATAAAGGAGCAATCACTGACGGGGACCAAATGGAAGCCCAGACCTACTGATCTGCCAGAAGTACCACCCCATTATACAGAAAATGGACAGGTTGCATTACCAAGCTTGACAAGAGGCTGTTTGGAGGCCAATGCCACCCATCACTTTGCATTTGGAGCAAAGTGGAGAAAAGCTGCTGTTTTACTCATGCCGGCCTAAGCTTGGGGCTATGGGAGGGAAAACCCAATTAATGCTGGAATAAGGGAAGAAACGAAAGATAATTTTCTCTCTAATGCCTGTACCCAAAGCTAGCTCCTCAGGAACTAACTGAGATCCTCTTCCTAAAGCTCCAGGCCATAAGGCCTTGTTCTGCTCTGAGCAACTCACTGTGACCCACTAGTGCCCCTCTGTCTCTGTCTTTCTCTGTTTCTTAAGCAGCAGATTGTCTAAAAGTCTTGGTTTGCTCACAGTAGCTTCCACGGCAGTGCTTGTGGGGGAATGGAGGATGCAAGCAGTTTGCAGAGCAGGCGGGAACACAAGGCACAGAGAGCAGGTTCAAACATGGGCTGCACACTCACAAACCTGGAGACACTCTGGCCTCTGCTACAGGGACTCCTGAAAAAGCCAGTCCCTGACACAGCAAAGAGTTGTGAGCATGTCACCAGTGGCTGCCCTATGTGCCATTGGTTATGGGCCAACATGGCCCGGAAGCTGCAGCCAAGCAAAAGCTCCTGGCTCAAAGCCTCAGCATTCTTCTTGAACTTAGTGCAAGGACCGCAACCAACTTTGTGCATTATACAGCCTTCAACTCCATGTAATCAATCTTAACTTCCTGCTGTCCCATCAGGAACAGGATGCTGTGGCAAGATAACAGGATGGATTGGCTGTGTTTGCGTCTTTCATTGGAAAATAATGTTTTCCTCGTGAGGTAGCAATGTAATTGGGCCCAGCCTTGGCTAACACTCAACATCTTGCAGCTCAATCTCCTCCGTCTTGCTTTCTGCAAAGCAAAAGACAAGTCAGTGAGTTGAAAATGAGCCACGCAGTGGTTTCTTAGTGAGAACAAGATAATGTATGCCACCTCTGTCTTCAAAAGCATGAATAATCACAAGGCCCAGGCAGTTAGTTACCTTTGAGTTTATGTCTTCTCTTCCTCTGGAACTTATATGCACACTTATTACAAAACCACATGAGGCTGATTAACACTGCGGCCACAGCAGCGAGAAAAGCAAGGAAGACAGCGACAAAGTGGAGGTCTTCATAGAGGATCTCTATGGGGTGGAGGTGAGGGGAAGGGGAAGATAACGTCTCTTTTATTATCAAGAAGTCAGCCTCCCACACACTTGCAGCCCAGAGGGGTGCTCATGTGCCTGGGACAGTCTTACCAGAGACATGCAGAACGATGCTGCCCAATTGGCTGCTCCCTAGGTGCTCTGTGACCGTGATGATGTAGCAACCGGAATCGCTCACGCCTACACTGAAGAGCTGTATGGAGCCATTGTCAAAGGTGCAGACTCGGTCCTTGTGGCTTTGGGAGATGTTGGCCTGAGTCCCTGGCTTCCACTCCACGATTTTCTGCACACCCCAGTTGGAGGTGTATTTCCATTCGATGGTGGGGACCCCGACACAGGAGTATTCAACCGAGAGCAGAATGTTTTCCTTCACTGTGGCATTGATGGCGGCCTGGGGAATGTACAGTGACACACCCTGACCTGCAGGATAGAGTGCCAGATGTTGGATACGCTGATACGAACTCAGATTTAAGTGAACTTAATATAATTCATTAACAAATACTCATTGAGTGCCTATTACATGCCAGATAAGGAGCCCTGATGGTGCAGTGGTTAAGCGCTCGGCTACTAACTCAAAGATTGGTGGTTGGAATCCACCCAACTGCTCCAAGGAAGAAAGACCTGGTGATCTGCTCCTGGAAAGATTATAGCCTAGAACCCTATAGGCCAGTTCTACTTGGTCACGTGGGGTTGCTATGAGTCAAAATTGACTCGGCATCTAACAAGAACAGTATATACTTCTTCTACGGATTTGGTGTGGTTATTACAAGGGGAAAGACAGACAAAGTGACTTTTCCCTGGAGCTTGCACTCTAGTAAGAAGACATACCAGAGATTAATAGGACAGTTTTAGATAATAAGTGTCTTAGGGATAATAAAACAGGGTCGTAGTGACTGATGAGGGTAAAAGTGGTACACAAAACATTAGAGAGGATGGTCAGGGAAGACCTCGCCAAGGAAATGAACTTTGAACTGAGACCTAAAGGAGAAGGAGGAGACATCCATGTGAAGATGAGGGAAGAGCCTTTTTAGGCAGAGGGACCAACATATATGAAAAGTGAGTTGAGAAGGAGCTTGGTGTGTTTCAAAGAAAAACAGAAGGCCAGTATGGCTGGATGCAGTGAACAGCGGAGAGTTTAGGAGATAAGGCTGGAGAGCTGGGTAGGAGAAACATCATGATATTGTGGGTCAGGGTTAGGAATTGGGTTTTGTTCAAGGGTGATGGGACACTATAAGAAGGCTGAAGCAGGAGAGTGACTGCTGTGGAGAATGTTCAGGAGATGGGGGTGGGGGCAGGAGTAAAAGAAAGACCAGTAATGGGCTGCTGCAGGGGTGACATGAGAGATGAAGGTGGTAGGCTTGGAGATAATGAAGAATTGTCTGATTTAGGATCTATTTAGAAGCAGGGAGGAGATAACATGACAAAGAATGGGATATGGTGGTGGCTGCAGCAAAGAGGCATCAAGCATAAGTTTCTACTTGGGAAGTAGGTTAGCTATAGTGCCATTGGCTGAAAGTCAATGTATGTTAGCCCTGTGCTAACTCTTTTACACACATCATCTCATTAAAGTCTCACACAACCCACTGTGGTTCTACCAAGGATTTACGTGTCAGAAACCTCAGGCTCAGTTGGACTAAACAGCTTGCCCAAGTTCATTCTGCAGGGCTGAGATTCACACAGGGGCTGTTGACGCCAAAGCTTACACTTTTAACTCCTTATGCTCAAATCAAAGGTCAGTGGTTGGCAGAATGGAGGGTCCAGAATGTGACAAATGTTCCCCCACACTGAGAGGTGTTCAGGGCTGGCCAGAGACTGGAAGTGAAAAGGACAGAATTTAAGTGTGGTGCCCTCTGCTTGATTTCCACCCATACTTCCTGTTTAGCCCCCTCCTTGGGTGCCCAGTTGCCCAGCTCACCTGCAGTGTGACTCCATGCCTGTCACTTTTTCAGGCCTTCCTCATTGTCCTCTCTATCCCAGCACATCCCCTTTGTGTCCCTCTCTTCAGACCTGGCTAGATGACTAGAGATAGTCGAATAAACTCCATGCTGAAAAGCTGGGGAGTAATAACGACTTTCAGAAGTTACTGCTGCCAAGTAAGAGAAATGTATTTTGTCCTCAACTCTGTACTGAATACTGTCAAATTCACAGAAAAGCTGAAAAACTGGTACAATTAACATCTATATGGCCTTCACCTAGACTCACCAATTGTTACTATTTTCCCACATTTGAGTTCTCTCTTTTTGTATCTCTCTATCTAAAATTTTGATGAATCATTTGAAAATTGCAGACATCTTGACATTTCATCTAAAAAGAAGCCATTCTACTATACAACCACACTATTAACCACCTAAAAATGTAACCTTGTTATAATAGTATCTATTAAACAGTATATATTCAATTGTCCACAAAATTATCTTTATAACCACTTTTTTGTTTTAATCCAGAATCCAATCAAGGATCATTCATTGGTTGCCATGTCTTATTAGTATTCTATTTTTTATTTTTTTGGCTTTCACGAGATTAACATTTTGGAGTCTAGGCCAGCTGTCTCATAGAATGCCTCAAAATCTGGATTTATTTATTTAGATTCAGGTTCAATATTTTAGCAAAAATACTATAAAGATGATGCATTCTTGTTGGATCCCTCCAGAAGGCAAAATAATGCTAGTTCGTCCCATTATTGGTTAAGGTAATGTCTGACAGGTCTTTTCATTGCAAAGGTCCTTTTTCCTTTTGTAATTAATATGTCACCTGTAGAGCAATACTTCGTGACCATGCGAATATTCTGTCACCCATAGCAGATCACAGATTTTAGCATCTTTAGATGAGTCTCACCTGTATTAGTTATTTCATTGATGGTTGGTTGGAAAATGGTGATTTTTCAAATTGTCTCATTCTTCCTGTATTTATTGGCTGGCACTCTAATGCCATGAAGAGGTTTTTCTTTTTTAGTACCTTTCCCTTTTTTGGTATCTCTATGGACTCATGAGGAGCTCTGGTGGTGCTGTGGTTAAGGCATTGGACTGTTAACCTTTGGTAGGTAGATGGTCTGAACCCACCAACTGCTCCACAGGAGGAAGATGGGGCAATTTATTTCCTTAAAGATTTACAGCCTTGGAAACCCAGTGGAGGTTGCTATGAATCGGAATCAACTTAATGGCAGTGGGTTTGGGTTTGGTTTATGGACTCATGAGGAGATCTGGTGATGTAGTGGTTAAAGCATTGAGCTAACCAAATGGTCGGCAGTTCAAATCCATCAGCTGCTCCCTGGGAAAAAGATGAGGCAGTCTGCTTCTGTGAAGATTCACAGCCTTGGTGTTTCAACACCAAGTGGCCATTCTAGGCTGTCCTATAGAGTTACTAGGAGTTGGAATTGACTTGACGGCATCGGGTTTTTTGATGTACCCATGAATTCTTTTTTGTTTAATGTGTCAATCTATTATCCTCACTATAATTTTTCCTGCTGGGTTATCCTATATTTGGCCAGTAGGAGCCTCTTCAGACCATTCATGTGCCCTTTGAAAGGTCCTCATTGTTTTTTGAGCATTTCCTTGAACAGATTGCATATTATCAAGGCCAAAGAATGAGAAACTTGAGAAATTCTGGCATTAAGGCAAATTGTTGGGGAGATCTTTTTTTGGGCAGCCAGCTTTTCTGCATCCTGTGTTCATACTACATGGGTTCATTGGCCCAAGAGTCACCTTGGAGATAAAAACCCAAGGCAAAGAGTGCCTGCTCTGCTTCTTTGCACAGACAGGGCTCTATAAGGTAAGTATCACAGAGTCTCCCAGGTGAAAGACTTCTTAATAGTCAATCTCCCACCTGGTATAAGATTCAACCAGTTCACCATTCAACTTCTGATTTAACCCTTTCTTATAGCAAGAGTGAGGTCTCTATTAACAAGGTGGCCTTTTTTCAATTTTGGGGAAGCTGTTTAAAAAGGGGTCCCTGGGTGGTGCACACAGTTAACAACCAAAGGTTTGAAGGTTTGTATCCATCAGAGGTACCTCAAAAGAAAGGCCTGGTTATCTACTTCAGAAAAAACAGCCACTGAGAAGGCAAACAGGGGTATATGGACGGATAGATAGGTGGACAGGCTAAACAATTAGGTATGTCTAAATGGGGAGTGTATCCAAACCATATATAGGGTTGGCAGACAATGGTCCTATAAGTTTATGTGAGTGATCAGAATTCCCAGGTGTATAGTAGAGCTGACAAGGGGCAAGGTTATGGTCATTGCTTGGTCACAGCCAGCTACCCTGAGGGACAGAGTAGTTGATCCTGTGGGCTTGGGACCATAGTCGCAGGGGACATCAAGCTCAATTGGCATAACATACTATACAAAACATTGTTCCACCTCCTACATTGGTGAGTAGCGACTGGGATCTTAAAAGCTAGCAAGCTGCCATCTAGATGCAATGATGGGTCTCTCCTCATCAAGAAGAAAGAAGAAAACAAAATGAATGGAAACAATCAGTCCTAGTGACTGGTACACCATCAGATCTGCAACCTATACAACTATGAGACCAGAAGAACTAGATGGTGCCTGGCTACCACTGCCATCCACTTGGAAGGGACGTACGAGTCCTGCATAGAGAGGGAGAACAATGTGGAACAAAACTCAAAATCATTTGGAGGAAAAAAAAAAAAAAGAAGGTGGGGACCAGGTTTGCTGGTCCAATAGAGCCTGGTGGAACCACTGAGACTATGGCCTCTAGCTACCCTTCAGGTCTGGAATTGAACCCACACCTGTGGTTTCCAGCCAAACAAAGTACAGGCAAGTGAGTTAAACATTTACCTCAAGTACACACACGCCCTGGAGAGAACAATCATGGGAGAAGGAAGGGCTGCTTATGCACAGGGAGACAGCTCAGGGTGCAGGAGAGTATGGAGGGATGGACACTGGGAAGAGGTAACTATGGGGAGGAAGTGGGAGGGGAGCTGTTGCATTGTAAATTTTGGTCAATGTCATGAGACAAAGTATATGTGAACTGCTGTATGAAAAATGAATTTACTCTGTAAATCTTCACCCAAATCAAAATAAAATTAAAAAAAAAAAAAAAAAAAAACAGCCACTGAAGACCCTATGGAGCACACTTCTACTCAAAATGTGGTTGCCATGAGTTGGGGTTAACTCGACACTAACTGATTTTTCCTGTTTAGAACGTTCCCATCTTATTTTGATCTCAAATTTGCTCCCTGTGTAGCAGCAGGGACTACAGAAGTTCTCTCTTGGCATTTGGGAGCCTTTCGGATACCTGAGGACAGTCTCATGATTCCTTAGATCACTGCTTCTCATTCATACTCAACGTGGTACATGGTCCCTGGGGGACAATTATTCTTTAACACAGAAAAAACAATGCAGAGTTTAAGGTTAGTGTGATAAAGAAGATGACAGAGGTCAAATTACAAGTCAGCCC